GACTCTTTTCTATGATAGAGATGGACTCGTTGTGTCATATTGAGAAAAATAAAAAAAAATATCAGAAAAATAAAGGAGGACGCTTCCCACACCCGCCGAAAAAATCAAAGGGTAACATACCAGCACCAGGCACTGCGCACCAGGGCNAAGCGAGATCAAGGTACCCAACACAGCAGAGTAGGCAGGGAGGTCATGAAAATATAGTGTGACCTTCGAAAAACACGTAAAGTTGAACTTGACCAGCGCTCTGAAACACTCCGCGCCTGTGAGATCATGTTGGTCGCCTCTGCCCCTCTCTTGCGAGGGGCTTCGTGATCAAAGTCCACGCTTGAATACCGGAACTGATACTGCTGTAGTGGTGAACGAGTAGGCATGGTTCAGAACGTCTGTGTGTCAGCGTGAACATGCTCCGGCGCGCGTGTCGTGTGTGTGGTGTGTACACACACATCTGGTCTATACCTAGGGCGGTGGTACGCGGCCGCACGAGTTGCGGCGGCGGTTGCTTTGTACCTACCCATGATGTTACGCGCCCTCGCCGCTGCTGATGGTACGGATGTAAGTAAGTACTTTGTGCAGCGGCGAACTCCCGTGCGCTATCGTATAGTGTGTTTATTTGTTGGAGACATTCCGCTTTTGGCTGCACAAATCCTTTTCGGCATGTGGGGAAAAAGGAGGTTTGTGTGTCTTACCGCTCGCCCACGGCGATGATAGCGTAGGTCTTGCCCTTGCATGCTCAAGTATTGTACGGCGGTTGGCGAAGGTACATATGCGTACTCGGGTTCATAGTAGCAGTACAGCTGTGCACCCAGTAGCAGACGAAAAACAAAACACTGGTATCTACCGTAGGTTACACAAGATACCACACACCCTGGACCGGTTGCCGCAGCTCGATTACTCCAATGTATGTGAGGATGTATGAACAAAACGATACTTCGAGGAAGCTCTCGACGAAACGGGTTGAACGCCGCCGATTTCGACGGTAATAGATCATGCACGATAAATATTCGAGCTTGGAAGATTGGTCAAGAACGGCTGGCATAAACTTTGAAACTTTTTCGTAACATGACTACCTTGTTCTTTGTTGACGCCCACCTGTGCAGTATCCTAACCTGACCCTAAAATTTCACGTTTTACGTTATTGTGCAGCCCTCCTGAACGTAATATTGACGCGTTAGAGAGAGGGAGCTTAGTACCACACACGCCATCATCCACCACGCGTTGTACACGGGGCTAGGCAGAGTCCGTTGGTGGCTGGTAACCTCTGCAGAATTAGGCCGACGGGCGACGACCGGACGCGTGTGAGGGTGCGCCGGCACAAAGTGCGGCAAGTCAACCAGTTCGTGGACGTCAACCGCGTGTACACAGCCCTCATTCGCAAGCCCGCATGGAGGACGGGAGCGGGTGAAGGGAGAGAGCCCCCGGAGTGGTTGAACGAGGGAGAGGGCGAGGCAAGGGTGGCGCTTTTTGTGGTGATGTTTCTCCTCGGTGGTTGCGATTTCTTGCCGGGGTTCTACTTCTTGAAGATGCCGAAGATGTTCCAGTTTGTGCTGGACACAATCTCCCAGCCGGGTCTTTTCAGCAGACCCATCGTGAAGAAGGTAAACGGAAAATGGACTCTCGACATCGACCAGTGCGTCAAGATGCTTGGTATGTGCTACTTCCAGATGCACTGGAACATCTTGCAGGTCGCGTACGGCCGCGGAGCGGTGGAGCTGTTTCAGGCTGTGGATTGGGACAGCAGAACATTCATCGACCGAGTGAGACTGATTATTTTCAAGGCCAATGGGCCCAATGCTAAGAAGAAGCGCCCTGACTGGACCGCGTTGAGGTTACAAGCCATGAGGGCGGAGCGAGTGCTGCGCTACTGGGGGTCCGCCTTGGATTCGAAGACCGAAGAAATAGAGTACCAAGGGCATGGTTGGGCAGCGGGGGCGAACAAGCCGGAGGCGAAGCTCACCTTCGGCAACTGCTGCGTCCAGCTATCGCCATATGCTTTGCTTAACCAGGAAGGGAAAGTAAAGATGTTAACATGCGGCTGCACCGGGAGAGTGAGCAAGACACCCTTGTGCAACAACAACTCATGCGGTTGTCATAAGAGGGGTTCCAAGTGCGTCCCCATGCACTGCGGATGCAACGGAAAATGCTACAAGAACCGGGCCGATCTCAAGGAGAAGCTAGAAAAACAGAAGGCGGAGGCAGAAGCTGCCAGGGCGAAGGCGGATGCTGAGAAGGCTAGGGCGAATGCTGAGAGGGTCGCGTCGGTGACTGCGGCTGCGGCCGCGGCGGGTAATATCCAGTCGATACACAATGACGAAATATATTGAAAAAGTACCCACCCTCCCGGCACCTTCACATTGACGCAGTCTTCATTTTCAAGATGGAAGGGCGTGGTTGCTGTAGTTTTTTTTTAGGTTCCACGCGTAGGCTGACCATCTCTACGTTGACTTGGACNCCGAGGCGAAGCTCACCACCGGCATGCTACAAGAACCGAGCCGTTCTCAAGGAGGAGCCAGAAAAACAGAAGGCGGAGGCAGAAGCTGCCAGGGCGAAGGCGGATGCTGAGAAGGCTAGGGCGAATGCTGAGAGGGTCGCGTCGGTGACTGCGGCTGCGGCCGCGGCGGGTAATATCCAGTCGATACACAATGACGAAATATATTGAAAAAGTACCCACCCTCCCGGCACCTTCACATTGACGCAGTCTTCATTTTCAAGATGGAAGGGCGTGGTTGCTGTAGTTTTTTTTTAGGTTCCACGCGTAGGCTGNGAGGAAGAAACACCAGGTGGCCATCCGGGCGTTTGCACAGGAGAGGGGGGCGAGGGTCAAACATCCGAGGGAGAGCTGTATCCTTTAGAGGAAGGTGGCACAGGGGTGGGGGCGCCTGCGGGGGCGGGGGGGGGAGACGAGGAGGAAACACCGGGTGGCCATCCGGGCGTTTGCACAGGAGAGGGGGGCGAGGGTCAAACATCCGAGGGAGGGCTGTATCCTTTGGAGGAAGGTGGCACAGAGATGGGGGCGCCTGCCGAGGGGGGGGGGTGGAGGCGAGGAGGAAACACCCGAAGAAGCGGGCCGACCACTGCCCGACGAGGAGGATCGGCGGGTGCCTGGGTCAGAAAACGGTGAGGGGAAGGCACATGGGCTCGGTGTCGTTTCGCCGGAACAGTTGCTTACCCACGACCCACACAAGAAATGATAGCTAGAAACAACGTGGTGCCAAGACAAAAACCGTCTGTCTGTGCATTGGACACCCCAGCTGTTGAAGGTAAGCATGCGTCCAATCCCGTTCCGTTGCTGCAACCTCGTGTGTGTGTCGTATACAGGTTGTCGTTCATCCACGCCATAACTGAAAATATGGGTGCAGAATGAAGGTACTGAAGCGAATTGTGTTGCTATCCAAAGCTACTGGCGCCGCGCAACCAGCACAAAAATGTGTTTTCATCCAGCAGTACGCCAGACCATCGAGTTGTCGCCGCGGAGGCGCCCACGGCGAACAGAGAGACCCCCCCCGAGTTGATATGGCGCGGTCTTGTTGTAGCGCGTGAGGAACCCTCTCTGGCGTCCATCATGTTGCGTATCCTCTCAAACTCGATAATTTTGTGTCGTCGCCTGGACCTATTTCGTAGACAATTTCACGACGTTTGGGAGGAAGGTTCAGCAGGCAGCGACGAAGACGACGCGTCGATAGACAGTATGGACGACGGCGGGTTCGAGCTGGAAGGAGAAAAGGACGTCTTGGATTGCGACGAGTCATAGCTCATGTGCGTAAATGCGCGTATGCTTTTCGATCGCGGTCGTCCTTGGCCGTGCCTGCATTTCATCAAAGGCGACCAGGGAGACATGCATGTCATAGACATGCATATTGTGGCAGTACGTGTTGTAGCAGTACGTGGATGGATAATACAATACAAGATGAGTGTCATAGCTCCACTTTCCTGCTCTCTAACCCTACACCAATAACACAACCCCCCCCCACCCCACCCCCCGCCCTCCATGCACGTCTTGCTCTATGCATATCATCCGTGTCGCAGCATACCGATGGTCCTCAGCTGTCCATACGAGTCTGTTGCTACAAGTATCACAAGAGGGTGCAGCAAAGTGCGATTTTCTGGCAGGATTGTAGACCTGCTAAGTTCCTGTTGTTTAACCGTTCTCCCGTCGCACGAGAGGTGTCTTCTCGTGCTCCGTGACTGGTGTGTTATATGCATGCATGAGCTTCGTCTGGCGACCGAAGTTTTTCTCTTGTTGTGATGCTGTATTATGGCGCTTGGAGATTGTTTGTGTTGGGTCGGTTTTTATTACCGTGCTTTCATTTCTATCAAAGGTGCACCCCTTCTTTGGGTACAAGTAGTTGGTTGGTGACAGCGGAGCCGGAACGGTAGTTCAATGTAAAGACAACAACAACAACCTGTCGCCCACATTTTGGGAAGACCCTCACGTGTGCGGGATTACGGATTGCAACATGTGACCTGCGCCGTTACACACCAGCCCAAGACCAGCAGGACCATCCAACTGCCGGTCGTCTGCTTCATAAGAAATCATTGGGGTCCCAACATTACGCCAAAGACGGTGGTTTGTCGAAATCCTACACCAGCACGAAAACACACAGAAAAACAAAGGAAAACGGTGTAACCTCCAATGCACGGGGTCCGCATCTCACAACTCTCACATGAGCGCAACAGACCTTAGCCAGGCAAGGAAAAGCAAATTGCTGGTTTGGTGATCTCTTTCTGCTCCTGTACTGCCTCCCACACAAACCACGCCTCCGTAGAGCTACATTTCCTCCCGCGGTAGGTAGCGTGCGGGAGCATCACAATCCTGTCAGGACGGTTATCCTTTCGCCAACGCCCTCTGCTTTTTACAGGTTCGAGACAAGTCAGTCTCAGCTTGAATGCCACTCCCACGCGCCCGACCCGCAACGCCTGTTCCACAATATAAAACGCGTTTTTGTAAGGCGGGCTTGTCACCACCCATTCCGGGCGGCGCGTGTCCTCTACGTACGCCTCGGCAAAAGCATCCGTCGTGGCGTCCAGGTGGGTATCGGCTACCCACCTGTGAGAGGGAGGCCAAACATATGGAGACATAATTCATGTTTGACGCAAGTATCTCAAGTTGTATTGCCGCCGGGGGAGGGGGGGGGTAGTTTGTTCGAAGTTGTGTCCCATTCGGGGGACGACCGGGGGTTGGGGCCCATTCGGGGGAAGACCGGGGGTTGGGGTTGTGTTAGTTATACAGTATTGTTTGGGATTTATGAAAGCTTCATCAGTTTCTGGGGATTTTGCGTGCAGGTACTTGCCAGAATCGCTGTGTTTTGGGACACATCACTTCCCCGTAAAAATACAAAATGAAAATCGTGAAACACATCGTTCACCCTGCCAAGAAACAAAACGCTATGAAACACCACACTCATACACCGATCGCCCCGGTGGTCTAGTGGGCAGCCTCGCAGCCTGCTAAGGGCCAGTGCATGAGTTCGAGTCCCGGCAAAGAGAGTTTTTTTCTCACTAAATAAATCCTGGGCTAGGATGAAAGCGACGCGCTGCAAAGCTCGTTTGATAGTAAACCATAATAGGGAACGGATTGCTGTACCCTTCTCGCGATAAAAATACCTCAGGCATGAACCGCAGGAGGGGGTCCAACCCCCCCCCTCCTATGTGATCCCGGATTGGTCGCCTAGCTAGAAGTGGAGGATAGGGGCCAGAGGAGCAGACGACAGAGTCCAATGATGGGAGAAAAACAAAAAACAACAAAGAACAAACAACTTCGTTCATGCAAACAATAAATCAACCGTGGTGTGATTTTTTAGACAACGGTAACCTGCCAGCAGGGTGGGGGGCTCGGAGTCTAGGAAGCCAGCATGTACACCCGCGCGTGGTGGCTTCGAAAGAGGCCGCAAGACACACATATGCTTATGTGGGGCTTAAGTCGTTCGTAGCAACACGAAGACCGCGCACTGTCAGCACCGTGCTGACTGCGTCCTGTCCGGCGCCACAGCAATCGAGCACGCCGCCTTCTACATCCACGTGTTCCAGAAGAGCTCGAACCTGAAATTGCATGACATGGACGCAAGGGCGCATTATAACATCGGCCAAATAAAGCAAAAACAGAGAGATGAGCACACCGACTACGAGCCACTTTGCGGGCAGGCAGCAAAGCACAATTGTTCATTAGACGGACCACATACTACCTGAAGAGAGGCGGGATGTGTAGCGGACGAAAGCAAAGGAAACCTTTCGTTGGAGCGCCTCGGTTGTTACAAGTAAACAGGTCGTATAAACAGGTCGTAATTTTGTGTATGTCTTGCCCTACCCCAACGACAAAATATGCCAAAAAGCGTGTACTCACACGATGGTTTGCCCTTTTGAATGCGATTCAAGTTCCGTACCCGACACCGCACTCTTAAGGAAAGCTCGAAGTGCATATTGCAGAGAACCCTTCCGTCAACCACTTCATAACATAATAATACCTAAAACGTAGTGGAAGGGTATCGGCCCATCGGTGACGGCTGCCCAACCACCATGTTGTCCCTAGACCCGTTTTCTTCCTTCTCTCTGGGCAGGCAGCAGAGCAGAATTGTCCATTAGACGGACCACATACTACCTGAAGAGTGGCGGGATGTGTAGCGGACGAAAGCAAACGAAACCTTTCGTTGGAGCGCCTCGGTTTTTAGAAGTAAACAGGGCGTATTTAACAGGTCGTAATTTTGTGTATGTCATGCCCTACCCTAACGACAAAATATGCCGAAAAGCGTGTACTCACACGATGGTTTGCCCTTTAGAATGCGATTCAAGTTCCGTACCCGACACCGCAAAGCTCAACGTGCATATTGCAGGGAACCCTTCCGTCAACCACTTCATCACATAATACCTGAAAGCCCGTGGAAGGGTATCGGCCCATCGGCGACGGCTGCCCAACCACCATGTTGTCCCTTGACCCGTTTTCTTCCTTCTCTCGGCGCCTCTTGAACTCTTTGTACATCCCGCCAACGCAGTCGGGCCGAAGTCCTCAGCTATGCAGCCAACACGCTGACAATCGGAACGAGCCCAGCCCCCACTGTTTTGGGCTGCTTGGGTGCGCTGCACCCCTCCATTCCTGGTGTACCGGCTCTACTGAGAGGCAGCTCTGGTCATGCGCCCACAGAGCAAGATTTCGGACAATTCTTGGACCACCCGCTGCAGTGTGAGTAGGACAACAGTTCACCGCGGTTGAATGCTGTCTGGCGTGGACCCGTACTTCTATGAGTAGTAATGATTTGTGTCAGATTGATTGGCCAGATATAATATGTGGTTCCTCACTGCCCAACAGGCAAGTAGTTCGTTACTGGATGTTTGTTGTTGATTCCAGAGGTTGTGTTTCTCTCTTCTGTGGTGGCCGTGTTTCTTCATGGAATAGGAGAAGGAGCGAAGTACAGACGTCGTCATCATAGACTAGACTATGTGTGTACCCCCTCCTGTGTGACCCCGCGGACGGTTCGTCTAGCTAGTTGCAGTGTATCAAGTACGCTGAGAAGTTTAAGTAAGTTCACATACGCGGCGAACGTGTAGTGTGCACCGAAGATAGAGGAGTAAGCAGGCGGCGCCAGAGATGGGACGAAAAAAGAAAGAAACTTTGTGTACAATCCATATAGTCTATATCCATCCGTAACATATGTTCTTACAACAAGCGTCACGGTCACGTGTTGACTGTCACATCGTTCTTTCTTTTACATTTGGTGTGGTGTCGTCATTGTTGTCATCTCTTCCAGTCTCTACTCAGTACGTTCAAATCTCCGGAATGCATGTCCAATTGCCGACACAGACAGACCATCTTCTACTGTAACTGTAGTAACAGAGTTGACGAAAAAAATAAACGGAAGTGCCTTCTTTCAATCACATCGACGGACACATTCAGTAGCCGCCTGACCAATGGACTTACACCGCAATAATTGAATGCGAGTAATGTCAGGTATGTTTGTGTGTGTTTCGGTTCGTGTTCATGTTGGACGTTGGCTTTTGTTGCAGCTTGAGGAATGAATTAACGTTGTCGGCAAGAGCTCCAATCTGCGGTTACACAGAAAGGTTCCGCCCCCAGAGGCTGCCCGTTTCCACCCCTTCCTTGCCGGTGCCTTTTTTGAGTATTGACGCGACCGTGTGCTAGCATGCCAGGCGCGATTAATATTGAAATCACATGCGACAGGCGTACAAATCGAAATTCCGTGTCCCCCCGGGTGGTGGGGCGGGGGGGGGGGGGGCGGTTGTTATGCTGAAGCAACGTTTTCACTGATGATGATGCGTGCTGTACATGTTGTGTGTATGCATAGTCTGTACGCGTGACGGCCACAACAAATTGGCAGCTAGCTCAAGTCATAATTCCCCAACAATCGAACGAATCGGTTCATCGGTTCATCGGTTCATCGGTTCATCTGTACATGGATCGAAAAGGGAGCGAGCGACCAAGGGTTGCCGCTGTGAAGTAGGTCCTTCCAAGCAAGCGATATATTATATCCGGGGAGGTTGATCGGTCCCCTCCTCCACCTACCGCGGACGATGCTATTTTGCACGACCGACCGAGCGCTCGTTTGTGTTTGTTTGCCGTGAGCCCCGGGCTCAATCAATCTAGCTGGTTTTCTTCGAACTTCTTGACCGTGAGGGATGGGAGCTCGGCGATAGCACGAGGGATCTCTTCTGTACGGCTGGGTACAAGACGACACATGGCATGTCACGCGATAAGGCAAAGCAGGAGGGTATGTACAACTGTAGACGAGAACGAAAAAATATTCCTTCCAAGTTTCTAAATCAAGTCGTGTAGCAGCTAATGAGTTCGATGAGATAAATGATCCTGCGAAGTATGACAGCAAGAGCTCGAGAAGGCTCGGTGAGTTGAGTGGTAAGAAATGCGTGTTGTAGAGAGAGAGAATTTCCAACTCCCACGTGAACGACGAGTAGCAAGAGGGGATGGATGCCTAAACCCGGGTGCGAGCCATTTAGTTTCATCTTGAGGTACAGGCCCGCTTCTAATAAACGTCAAAATTTGGTCGAGGCTACACTCCTTAAGGCGTCACCATCCCCGAGTACAGGCTGCCGACCCAATTTTTTTCACCTGTAAGCTTGTTGCGGGAAAGCGGAGCATCTGGAGGGAGCTAAGCCGCCGAATCTCCGCGGGAATGTTGCCTGCACAGCCGGCCGAAAGGATGAAAGAAAAGCATGAGGAGCTTGTGCAGATTCTCACTAGTAAGTAGCACAGGTGGACGATGATCTCCAGCAGATTCTCGCCATCTAGCACAAGTGAATAATGAGCTCTTTTCTCTGCAGATTCTCGATACCTCATGGTTTATCCCCTGCAGTGCGCGTCTACCAGTCCTTCACGCTACATCTCGGTGGGCGGTGGGGAGTGCGAGCGATTGTGCATGCGTTTGTTCGTTCCGGATTGTCCTTCCGAAAAGCCCAGCTAACCGCTGCAGCAGCAACACCATCAATGTGAAGAGTTCGTGTGCTGGATGGACAGCACAACCTCAACAAAATTATTACATTCCGTCGAAACCGACATGATATTAGCTGTAGCAACCAAAATCAATCGCAAGGAGAGCTCGTTCGTGTGACGGGCAGCAGAACTTCAACAACGATGATCCCGATCCCTTCTTCCAACACCATATTTTCAGGAGTTGGCCGCCCTCTGGCGTCTCAATCACCCTCATTTCCTCCCGGTACATAGTGTAATGTTCTGCCGATTGGAATATAAAACACGGATATTTTACCGTACGTACGTTTGGATGCTTGGGACGACTGAGTTCCAATCTTCCCGGAAGGGATGCTTCAAGACACCGCTTACTGAAGTTTCCCAAACGCGACAAATGTGGGGTCAAACTCTCCACACCGCCCTAGATTGACTGAGTTCGCTCGGTTCCGCTTGGCATTGTTCTTCGCCACACTGTACCAAAGGATATAGCCAGCCTCCGGTGGTAGTTCATAGCCACTACACTCAGGACTCTCCGCTCAACAAAGAACCGTATGTATTTTCCGCGAATCGCAAGAAATATGGTTATTTTCCGCGAAACGTGAGAAATATGGGTATTTTCCGCAGCTCACCTGAGATCTGGTTCTCGTTGAGGCTCAGCACCCGGAGCGATGCAAGATCCCCGATTTCAGCAGGTATGCTGCCTGAGAAGCATAACACATGAACATCATCCACGCAAGCATTTGTTGTTTTTTTTCCAGACGAAGAGATCATTCAGACCAATAAGCTTGAGAAACAAAAAGCATATCATCCACGCACGCACGTGTTTGTTGCTTTCGTCGAGACGAACAATTCGTTCAGAGCAAGAACCAGCTGTATGTGGCGCAGCAGAAGTTTGCAAGGGATTGATAAGCGACAGGAAGGTTGGGTTAGGCTTAAGGTTAGCGACGACAAGGTGAACGCCCGCACGATGCTGTCGCTGCGTGTTGCTGAACATAATGTACTACTTCGTCGAGAGGGCTCTACCCATAAGGTAAGTCTGGATGGAGTAGGCAGATCGTCTTATCGTAGCCAGCAGGGCGAAGGTTTGGGGGAACCACGATTGATTGTTTTGTCTTGTGCACCCCACGTACTTCGATAGGCCTAGGCACATGGTTGTGGCCGACAGAGGCTTCAATTATCCCTCTGGGGCTTTTCAGAGATAACTTCTGTGCATGGTGCCAATTTGCGTGTGAGCTCCGATGACAAGCAACGATGACAAACAACAATAACAACAACAGCAACAACAACAACAGCTCACTCGTCAGCTCGTTCTTTTGAACATCCAAAACTTCCAAGGCAGCCGCTCTGCCGATCTCCGCAGGGACAGGTCCTGCTCGCATGGAAAAAGACAAGCAACACGGTCCATCGTTTTCAGGGCAGCGTTAAACCGGTGGTGGCTGAGTGCGCTTGAATCGAATCGAAGCACAAAAATGATGGAACAATTCCTTACCCGTTCAACAATGCCTCTTAGACGATGAAATCCTCATGTACACCTTTTCTCTGGACGTTTTAGTACTATCAAAACACGTGCACTACTAACAAAACACGTATACTACTATCAAAACACGGACAATTCATCCTCAAAAGTTGGGGTTAACCGGTCATAAAATCATCACGAACATGGCTACATTCTTCTGGCGATGCTGCTAATCACACAACTATTTGAATTTTACTAGAAAGAGTGATCGCTTGTGACACCGGCGGCGTTTGCAACGGATGAACGATTGGGCAGTAGCGACACTTCATCAATGAGCCGATCCTCGCCAAGCACGTCATTTACAAAAACAAAAACTGTCGGCGGAAAGCTGCACGACAATTAGTACCAAAATGACGGTGATGGTGGTTTTACATGACGTTGTTGCTGTTGTCGCTGCTGCTTCTGATGGTGCTATTGTTGTTGTGCTCTTGACAATAAAAATTGTCCCGGTCAATGTGCAGTACCTTTTGATGCCCGTGATGGTCCAACAG